ATGTAATAGTTGTGCCATTTACTGAAATTTCAAAGTCTTAGACCGAAAGATAAATGCTTAATAGCCCCATATGAAATATTGTTGTTTAATAAACATCTGATTAAGCTCAGATATGTTTAAATATCTTTAATTCTTCATATTTAAAGTCTCGGTGTCTCCTGATATAATCCCACGCTGACTCCATGACACTGAGATTAGGGCTCCGTGGGAACCAAATCATCTATAATAAACTTCTACGACAGACTCCTTGTTTTGCCATTGGCTGAAGAAACTGCTTCCTAATTTGGGAGCGATCAGAAGCCCGTCTGAAGTAATGGATTACTAAAAACAGTAACGTGTAATAATTCAGAAAAACAGAAAATCTGCCACCTTGTTGAGAAATTAAATTGAACAACACAGAAGGTTAGCCAGGACTGCAAGCCAGTACAAAGTGAACACAAACCTGGTGGACCGTCTACTGCTGGCTCACGTAAACACTGCACACAGAGAAGATTCAGCTATTTCAAATCTCCTGCCATTCGGTCTAAACAACTAACAACACATTTTTTAGGCTTCATCGAAGCCTTTTTGATGCGTCTCTGGCCATGTAAATGCTGGCTTATCAAGACATGTTATAGTGAGAACGTCTGGAGAGAGGGAGCAGGTGGCTTTTGGGACTCTATTAAGAGCATTAGGCTTTCAAGGAACGTCTCCCTCAGGCGCATGCATTTTGCAACATGATCAGTTGAGGAAATTAGCGGGAGAAAAGCCTAATTCATTTTACTGGAAAGTGGAATTGTGAAAAAGCCCTAATAAGATCTAGCTAAAAGGCTGCGTGCTCTCCTCCGTCTGAACAGGCAGCCTGACAAAATGAAGAAACTCAAACGTGATGAGCAGAGGTTTGTCTCTTGCTGGTCAGCAGATTTCATTGCAGGAAGACAAGCCATTTCCTGAGATGAAATGTGTGGTCTCCTGTGAAGTGGTGATTCAGTGACATCCGTGTGTCTTAAAAGGATTAACGGCGTACAGTACTATCTGTCTTCTGGCAGTGGGCAAAACATGACGTGAGGGCGAGTCGCTGTTGGTTTGTGCAGGACAGCTGCTGCCACAGAGTCAAGGTGGAGAGGACGACAGTAGGAAAATCAATTTGACCTCTTATATAATCTGTTTTTACTGTTATGTAATATAGCGTTAGCAATTATCGGACGGTATTAGGACAGTTTAAGCTCGGAGGGTAAGTTTGAGTGTAGCTAAAGATCCTGGATACAAGTGCACACTTTGATCGTTGCAGTGAAGCATTCAGAGCAATAAACTCTGTAGGAAGCTGAGAAGTAATACTCCACAGGCATATTAACCTATCAGCAATCAAACTGTGGACCTTTTGATTATGTTATTTAGTTTTGTCATCATCGGTTATTTATAGTAACACCAAGGCCAGAGGGTATCAAGACCAAGACAAAAAAGTCTTTAAAGCAGCCAGAAGCTGCTTCGTTTATGGGTGTAAGCATTTTATTTTGTGATGCACTCGCACAGCCCTCACTGTCTACTGTCTCACTCACTTACTGAGAGGACAGACGCACGCTCCACTTGACTGTCGTGTCTCTCACATAATGATATTATCCTATATCCTCGCATGTGATTGGCCACAATATGGAGGCTGTGTTTTGAGTTTTGTTCAAAAAAATAACTTCATATAAGGAAAAATAAATATATCACATCTGCAGGACACCTTCAACTAGTTTTTTAATTAAGCAGCAAGGCAGAACAAAGTCGGGGCTGTATCAAGACACGAGGACTAAACCCCGATTCAACCAGACCCAGAACTGATCTGGAATTAAAACAGGACTACAACAGTTCAAAATCAGGACGACTGAGGATTTAACCAAGACAGAACCAGAATCAGAACTAGATGATAGCAGCACTAAAAATCATCATAGACCTGCACGACACTTATTGTTTAATTCTACCAAAGTCCACTATTTACATTCAGAAAGGTTTATATAATTATTCAGCCTTGTTGTGCAAACAAGCTGCAAAACTTAATAAATATAGAGTTTGAAACATAGCAAATGGAATCTAAAAAGTTACACTGGATACAAGTTCTGATGAGTTTTGGCAAACAACCATGTGACTAACAGGTGTGTCTCACCTGCTCCTGTTCATCTCTGTTCTGTCCTCATTCTCCCTC